TGTTTTAGCCTGTTATATAGATTGAAATCCTGGGCTCAAGTGATCCTCTGGCCTCGGCCTCCCAAAATGCTGAGATTACAGATGTGAGCCACTGTGCCTAGCCTAGAACTAAATTGATGTACATAGGAACTGGGGTGATAGGGTTGTTTGAGACACTAAGCCAATACTCTTACATGTTTGGGTCCCTTTTGCCTCCTGTGGTTGGAATGTTATAAAATAAGACTAGAATAGACCGAGTGTGGTGGCTCACGCCTGTAATCCTAGCACGTTGGGAGGCTGAGGCTGGCAGATCACGAGATCTGGAGTTCGAGACCAGCCTGGCCAATATGGTGAAACCTTGTCTCTACTAAATAAACAAAAATTAGCAGGACGTGGTGGCACGCGCCTGTATTCCCAGCTACTCAGGAGGCTAAGGCAGAAGAATCGCATGAACCCCGGAGGGGGAGGTTGTAGTAAGCCAAGATTGTGCCACTGCACTCCAGTCCAGCCTGGGCGACAGAGCAAGACTCTGTCTCAAAAAAAAAAAAAAAAAGACTGGAATCACAACAGCTCATATCATATTTGGCATGAATACTCCTTCAGTTTTGGAACAACATACCTGTTTCTTCATTGAATGTTAGCAGTGACTCCATAATTTAAGGGATACTTTAACTTTAGTCTGATCCTGGCTTTTGTAGCTATGCATTTAAAGTATTCCTGGCCAGGTGTGGTGGCTCACACCTATAATCCCAGCACTTTGGAAGATGAGGTTGGAAGAGTCGCTTGAGCTGAGGAATTCAAGGCTGCAGTGAGCTATGATGCCGCTACTACACTTCAGCCTGGACAATGAAGCAAGACCCTGTCTCCAAAATAAAATAAAATAATTCTTTTGGATATGTAAACATTTAGGTTTTTCTTCTGGCTTTGGAGTTTGTATTTCAATATGAGTTGAGAAGATAATCAGTTAATGCTGTAGAGACCCTTTCCTAAAAACTTGAGTTAATGAGAACCATTACAAAAGGCAGCTGGTGATGGTTAAATTTTCTCCTATGAGAGTTGAGTGAGTGTGCATATGTTCAGTGTGTGGTGGATGTGTGTATACACACATGCTGTGGGAGAGTTCTCTGCTAGAATTGGGGAACAAGATGGAGAGAGAGAATTAAATGAGTGCTTAAGGACTGAGTGGATGAAACCCAAACCTTGAAGCAGAACTAGGCTGGAACCACCCTGGTTTCTTGGTAACCAGGGTCATTTTGGGTTATTTGTATGTATAGTGGTATACCTCTTGTTCCATTATGCTTGACAATACCTTCTTTATGTTAAAAAACCCGGCCAGTTGCGGTGGCTCACGCCTCTAATCCCAGCACTTTGGGAGGCCGAGGAGGGTGGACCACAAGGTGAAGAGATCGAGACCATCCTGGCCAACATGGTGAAACCCAGTGTCCACTCAAAGTACTAAAAATTAGCCAGGCGTGGTGGTGCGTGCCTGTAGTCCCAGGTACTCTGGAGGATGAGGCAGGAGAATTGCTTGAAACCAGAAAGCGGAAGTTGCAGTGAGCCGGGATTGTGCCACTGCACTCCAGCCTGGCGATAGAGCGAGACTCTGTCTCAAAAAAAAAAAAAAGGACACCAAGGTGGATTTGTAGCCCCTGTCTAGATAGTTTTAGAATAGGATCTGTTTGTCCATACATGTTAAAAGAACTGGTTTGGTTTAGGGAGTACATAATTAACAAGGTGAGACAGGAGTTACTAGTCTTCAATTGTTTTAAAAATGTGAAAGAGAGATTAGACATGTTCTGTGTATCCCAAAGGCACAGCACCAGAACCGTGGATTGAAGTATAGAAAAACAGATTTCTGTTCAGTTCAAGGAGTATTCGAAGAGATCAAGAACCATGGTTTGGTGGTGGGGTGGATAGAGTGTAGAAACTGTCTTTCAAAGAGGTTGTCAGGATGACTACTGAGAAGGGGACACGGGATTAAAGTAGTGGCCTGGGAATAGGCATTGGAATAGATGATTTGTAAGATTGATTTCAATCTAGCCTAAAAATTCTGTAATTTTTAGGACATATTACCTCCCCTGGAAAGTGAAAAATGAAGATGCATCTGGCATTTAAAGGCAAATTTCAGATTCATTGGTTCAGTGTCTCTAATGGCTTTTTCTCTCGAACTTCTTCAAACTCTCCTGCAATTATACTCTTTCTCTTACACATCAATTTCTTTCTGTGTATGGAAGCATCCTTATCACCATCAGAACATGCCTTTTTATCACCCTTCTTAAAAAACAAGTTAAAGAAATTTATCTATTCAATGTAGCCTTCCAGCTCTATGGCACTTCTCTCCTGTCCATTCTGGCAGAACTCCCTGAAGGCTTGTCTCTTGGGGTGTGCAATCTCCTCTTTTGCCGCCCCTCCTCACTCCACCACTCCATTAAGGTCACCAGAGACCTCCATTTTAACAAATCCCATGGCCTCTTCTAGTCCTCATCTTTTTCAGCCTCTCAGTAGTAGATGGCATCATCCATTCCAGCCCCTTCTTTTTCTTTTTGAAGTATGCCCTTGTAACCACCCCTTCCCCCTCACTTCACCTTGAAACACCATCCTGACTTGACTTCCAGGGCATCACATTCCGTTTTTTTTTTTCTCCTACCTCAATAAGTGCCCTCCTCAAAGGCCTCTACAGATGGAATTGCCCCAGGGCTCAGTCCTTGACTTTCTTTTCCATACCATGCTGTCTCTAGGGTTCTTAACTGGGGTTTGGCTGCTTTAAGAAAAAGAGAAAACTAAACTTAAAAAGATAGACTTTATCCAAGTCTAGTTAATTCAGAACTTTTGGAGAAGACTTGTGAGCATCAGTTTTTTTTTTGGTTTGAATTGGTGTTTTTGGTTAATTTTTATAATTGGGTACACAAGTATACAGCCAGGATTGAGAATCTGGATGATATCTAGTCCTGGGAGAGAAATACTAAATACTGATAATTTTCAAATTAATGTATTTAACACATTTTCCCCAAACTCCATCTGTGTTTATTCTGTTGTGTGTTTACATTTCCACTATAAATAGGCATCTTGATTGCATGCCCCTTCCCCCACACTGGCTCCTTCCTAGGTTTGCCCTTTGTGCATACAGCTCTCAGGCCACAAGCCCAGTGGAACCTGTTCCCTTAGCACACAGCTCACCCGGCAGCAAGTCCTTTTCACTTGCCATAACAAATACACACATCCTAAATCTCACTGCTGCTTCTCCCACCACCACTTCTCTTCTGGGTAGGCTCAGGAGCCTCCTACCTCTCCCGTGCTCTTGCACTGTCACTCTCAGACAGTCCTTGTGCAGTCAGAGTGGTCTTATCACTGATCACAGTCATTCCCTTGCTCCAACCCCCCATGGCTTTTCATTCCAACGGACAAACTCCCCGCTCCTTACCAGGAGCTACGGTCTCCCCTTCATGTGGCCTCTGCCCAATTCTGCAACCTCGTTTCCTCCCACTCCCTCCTTCCCTGCCCCGGTCAGACTGAACTGACCACCATGCTGTTCCTCAAACTTCCCAATTTCATTCCTCCTGCCTCAGAGCCTTTGCACACACCACCCCCCACCTGGAAGCCCTGTCCCCATAGATTCTTCCTTGGCTCTCACCCTAATTTTTCTCAGGTTTCTGCTCAGATGTTACCCCAGGAGAAGGCCTATCCAAAATGCTCCTCTCCCCCACCCACTCTCTTCTGGTTTATTTTTTCCCTCCACAGCATTGATCTCTACTCAAAATCCTGTTTTTCTGTCTATTTTGTTAGAACTTTTATCACTGCTCTATCTCCAGCACCATCGGCAGTGCTCACACGTAGTAAATGACAGTACATACTTGTGGCTGAATGATAAAGTGCTACTCCTTGAGGAATGGTCCCAGGACCTTGGCGTTTTGTCACTTCTGTGGCCCTTGGCCCCTTTTCAAGCCTCTGAGCAGACAGTGCTGACTACAGCCAGGATGTCCTGCTGAGTTTATCTCAGAACCTACTCTCTTCTTGCTGCTTCCAATTTGGCTCCCTGGCTGTTTACCGATAACTTCAGAAATACACCGGCATGGGGAGGTCAGCGTCTGGCACTTTAGCTCTAGGTGGGTACCTTTCAGTTCTTCTCTTCCTGACTACTCCAAAGCAAGTCCATGCTGGTTCTGTTTCTGTAGACATACTGTTCCTTGATAATCCACTTTCCTGATTTCCTTCCCCTTTTCTCTTTGCCCCTTCTTGGTCTTCTTTGCAGGCTCCTTCCCCTTCTTTGTCCAATATCAAAACATTGGTATTTCTTAGGCTCTACCTGGATTCTCTGCCCTTCTTACTCCACTGTCTTCCTGGTGACCCCGCCCATTCCTAGGGTTTCAGATTCTCTACCTGCCGGTGGCTCCCAAACTTATATTCCAGGCCCAAGCTCTTGTCTAAGTTCTAGACCTGGGTGTCTAGCTAGGAAATGTTCTTTGGTGTCTCACAGGCAACTTAAATTGTATGTGAAGAAAGCTGAACTTGCCTTCTCTTTCATTTTTCCCCTTAGTCAATGACCCAGGTAACTATCTCGAAACCTGTAAGGCTTCTTCTGCCCTTACCCCTATGCCTAATCAATTGCCAGTATTGTCAGTTCTCCAGGTGAATAGCTGTAGACTCTATATATTCCCTGTCACTATGCACTGCCACCAGCTAAGACCAAGCCACTGCTGCCATCTCTTTCCTAGGTTACTTTAACGGCAGTTGCACCCCCTACACTTTCTCCAGTCTAACGTCCTGTGCTGCTATTCGCCTTTATAAAATGTCCATCTGATTGCATCAGCCTCTGCTAATGCCTCATTAGAGTTTTGATAAAACGTAAACTTTTTAACAGGGCTTGTAAGATCCTTAATAACCTGTTCCCAAACTGCTGCATTTCTTGGAGTTTCTTGGAAGTATCTGCCTCCCTCAAGCATACCCCCACCCCACCCTGCATACATACACATCACTCCTGTGGGCACTTGTCATTTACAGTAGAGTATAACATAGGGCACAGTAAGGCCTCAGTAAATATTTGTTGAATTGATGCAGGAAGGCAGTGGTCCTGGATTGTAATTGTATGTCCTCAAATTTTAATTTAATATACTTTAAAAATGTAAAGGCTTGGCCAGGCACAGTGGCTCTTGCCTGGAGTTCCAGCAATCTGGGAGGTTGAGGCAGGTGGATCACAGGTCAGAAGTTCCAGACCAGTGTAACCAACATGGAGAAATCCCGTCTCTACTAAAAATACAAATTAGCCATGGGTGGTGGTGCATGCCTGTAATCCCAGCTACTCGTGAGGCTGAGGCAGGAGGATCACTTGCAGTTGGGAGGTGGAGGTTACAGTGAGCCGAGATCGCACCATTGCTCTCCAGCCTGGGCAACAAGAGCAAAACTTCATCTCAAAAAAAAAAAAAAAAAATGGTAGAGGCTTGCAGAGTCAGAAGTTGCTGTTTTGTTTTATAGTGCTGTGTATGTGTTTCCCTCTACTCTGTAGTTTCCAGAGGCTTATTAAAAACGGAACTAAAAGAAGTATGTGGGATTCTGTTAGGAAATCAGTTTCAATCTGTGCTCTTTGGCCGTTGAGTGCTGAGCTTAGAAGCCTGCCAGATGGGGACATAAGAACCAAATCACCTTTGCTTCCCAGTGGGGAACAGGGGCGTAAATTGGCTGAATGGGCTTCTGTGGTAAAACTCCTCCAACTTGAGCTTGTGTAAGCCAGGATCAAAATACCTGAGACTTGTTGAGACTTGTCTATACTGTTGATTAAACTTTCAAACCTGTTTGGGAAGAAGGCTTGGAACAACAGTGGGTTTGGGTCTTGTGCAGTAAATCCTATTAAAAAGAAATAGACAAAATCTTAATCATGTTTAATTTGTAACAATATAGGTAAGACTGTTGGTTGCTGTTGTAATGAACTTAAAAAAGAATAGAGAATGTTTTTTTTCCTTAGAAGTTCCAGGTTTAATGACGAAACCCTGTCTTACTAAAAATACAAAAATTAGCCAGGTGTGTGGCCTGGCGCCTGTAATCCCAGCTACTCTAGAGGCTGAGGCGGGAGAATAGCTTGAACCCCAGAGGCGAAGGCTGCAGTGAGCTGAAATCGCACCACTGCATTCCAGCCTGGGCCACAGAGCAAGACTGCATGTCCAAAAAAAAAAGAAGTTCCAAGTTCAATATTCTCAACTTTCCCCTCGGGGCTGAGAGCTCCTGGGTGAGGTTTCTAAGTCTCCATCCTCTCAGAACTCCTATCTCTAACTTCTTCGTGCATGATCGGAGGGGCCTGAAGTCACTGCTGAGTCACAGGAATAAGCAAGAAGGGAATGACACACTTCCTGCCACAAGTTCTAGGGAGTTTTTATGGTTTGTTTTTCTGTTTCTCTTTGAAGATTCCCTGAAAAGACAGAAGGTTGCCCTAGCTGTCTCCTGATTAGCAGCCTCTATTTGTTTATACAATTTCATAGGATATCCTCTCTGCTATACTTGTAACTCACAGGCTTTTTGAAACTTCTTTTCCTTATCACAACGGTATTACATGTTTGCGTAGTGTATTTATCTACTACAATTCGATCAATAAAAAAAGAGGTATTCCTTATTGTTATTAAAGAGAAAAAAATATATTGTGAATATCATCATTTCAGGCTTTTTTCTGTGTGCTTATAGTTTTCTCTTTAAAAATTATATATGGCTTAATATAATTTCTTTGCCTTTATTTATTGTTTTGTAGCCTTTCTGAAGAGTTCTCATGTTATTAATACTCTGCAAGATCAGTTTTAAAGATTGCATTACTGACCAGGCGCAGTGGCTCACATCTGTAATCCTAGCCCTTGGGAGGCTGAGGCAGGAGGATTGCTTGAGGCCAGCATTTCAAGAGACCAACCTGGCCAACACAGCGAGAGACTGTCTCTAAAAAAGAAAAAAAAATTGCATATAGATGTGCCGTAATTTACTTAATCAGTCCCCATGTGGATAGTAGGGCTCTAAAAGTTTTTATATGGGGTCATTGCTATAACCCGCAGAGCTTTCTTGCACCACAGCTGTCCACACTTGTCTCTATTTCACTGGATGTATTCCTGTAACTAGCTCAAAGGCCCTGTGGAGTTTTAAAGTTTTTTATCTTTATTGTCACTTTGCCTTCCAGATATTTGTTCTGTTTTTCATTTCTGCCATATAACATAAACTCCTTACCATGTCCTATATGGTCTACATATTCTGGCCTTTGGCTAACTCCCAACTGCTTCTCATACCTTTCCTCCCCTTGCTTCTGTCACTGTAGCCCAGCAGCTCCTCTCCTCTCCTTCCCTGAAGCATGCCAGGCTTGTCCTATCTCAGGATGTAGCCCTTGCTCTTTATACACATTATTCCTGTGGCTTTCAGCAAATACCTCCAATGCCACTTCTGCTAGAGTGGGCTCTGTCAGAACCCCCTATTTATTTTTGCTCTAGCACCTTTCACAGTCCGTCCTTTGTTTATGTGTGTGCTTACTGGACTGCCACGTCTTTTTCCCATTGAGGTTAGTTTTGCAAGACAGGCAACCTCATATGTTTCATTTCCCATGTCCCCAGCATCTAAGTCAATGTCTACTATTCAGTAGGTACTGGGTAAATGCACGTGGATTCATTCATGCTGAATGAATGAAGAAATCTCCCTGTCATCTAAGAGTGTGTGGTGTAGTAGGGCTGATGAACTGTGTATAGTGATGGTTACCTCTTGGAGCAAAACATGGCTATCTCCTGGAGCAAAATGTAGGAAATGCTGTAAGTGTGCAAATATCACAGAGATGCAGGAGTGGGAGCCAGTGACTGGCTACAGTGTCATGAAAGGGTTCATCTGAGCGGAGCCTTGGGAGATTGGCAGTGTTTTGCAGCTGGTGACTATGGAAAGGACCCAAGGGGCTGAAGAAAGTGGGTAAGCAGAGGCCCAGAGGCAAAACAGTGAAGCACAGCAGGGGCAGGACTGTGGACTGCTTTAAATCCTGTGTTGACTCATGGACTCAGACCCCTGAGCAGCAGAGAAGCATTGCGTGTTCCTCATCAGAGGGTGACATGGTGAGTGAGGATACGGAAGTACTTTTTAAACTAAATTCTAGGTACACATGGCGATGTTAGGGTGATCAGGCTGTGCTTCAAGAAGATGTACCATGAGGACAACTAAGTAAGAGGAGCAGGAAGTTCCAGCCAGAGGATGAGGCTGAAGGGGGTTGGGATGATGGGGCTGTAAGTGAGGAGAAGGCAGAGGAGCGTTTTGGAGCTGGGGAAGAGGGAGAGTGGGACCCACGATGACACTGAGGTTTTGGTCTGAGTGACTGATGGGAAGATGAGATCTGGAGCCCTAGGACAGAAGCTGTTTTGAAGTAAGAACACTTATGAATTTAGTTTTCACTGAATTAGTAATCCTCTTCCGGATTAAACCAGTCCATGTGCCCTCCTTTATCCTGAAGGGGCTTGGGTGACAAGAAGATAGGGAAGGGGAGACGATAGTATAAACCACAGGATGGGGGCTCGAGCTCCCATGGCCTCTTCTTCCTTTGTAAGAAAAGGACTGCATTTTTGGAAAGGGGAAATGGGGCTCCAACTCCTTTCCAGGGGATGAGATGTTTCCTGGAAATGTCTGTTCTCAGGCCCCCATTGGGAAGGATTTGCCACCAGCCTTGTTGTTGGGTAAATTTGTTCATGTTGTTAGGCTGAGGAGAGTGGGGGCGGATGTGTGTTGACTGTGGAGCACATGAACATGTGGGCTCAGGATACAAATGGGAAGAGGCCCAGAACTGGGTGACACATCATATTTTTCCCACAGACATTCAAAAATGATGTGTGCTTTTCTTAGGAGAAAACATGAAAGGGAAATTACTCAAGGCATGTTATAATTCTGATTGCTCTCTAAATTGAAAAGGTTTTGTTGTTGTTGGTTTGTTTTTGCTTTTTGAGACAGTCTCACTCTGTTGCCCAGGCTGGAGTGCAGTGGTGCGATCTCTACTCACTGCAATCTCCACCTCCTGGGCTCAAGCGATTCTCCTGCCTCAGCCTCCCGAGTGGTTGGGACCACAGGAAGCCACTACTACTCCTGGCTAATATTTTTATTTTTGGTAGAGATGGGGTTTCACTGTGTTGGCCAGGTTGGTCTCAAATTCCTGGCCTCAAGTGATCTGCCCACCTCGGCCTCCCAAAGTGGTGGGATTACAGGTATGAGCCACCTTGCCCAGGCTGGAAAGGTTTTTGAAACTTACTTTTCAAAAAAAAATTGGTTTGAAAATAGCCACATGGGTAAAACTACATAATGAGAAAGCTCTCTGTCTTCTAGAGAGGGAATGGAGAATAGAAGTGCTTGGCTGGCATTCTTCGGAATGTTGTCTTTTCAAGAAACCACCTTCTATTGCCTTAAAAACGAAAGGAGGTTTAACACAATGCAAATGGAAATGAGAAGGGGTGAGGCACGGATGAGAAGACAGCAGAACTTGGTAAATGAGTGACCACCCAAACCAAGAGAGAAATCAGTGACGACTGAGTGACAAGGTTGTGAAGGGAGCCAGAGAGGTTAAAACAGAAAAAAATAACAGGTTGGTGATGGAGGGAAGATGAGAAATTTAACTTGGGAAATATCATACATGGCCTTATTAACCAGAATTTCTAGAAATTTACAAAGAAATTTACCTTACAATTGGATAGTTTTTCTTGGCAAATTGAGAGTTTAATTAGTTTAGTATTTTATTACTAGGGATCATGTTCAGTTTTACATGAGGTTTTGCAATGGAATGATGCTATAAAATGTCAGGCCTCTGTTTATATTCAGTTCAGTAGAGAATAAACCACATTTAAGTGCCAGCATATTTATTGCAGCCAGCACTCAGTGTTTCCTTGCTTTCTAAATGTTGATTCTGTGTTTTCATTGGTAGTGTAGGTGTGAAGAGAGACTTGAGCATGAATCATAGGAAGACAGACGTAGATGCTCATTCAGCAGGCCTAGGGCCCAGCGAGTGCCGCAGCTGTGCTGCTCACAGCTAGTGGTGGGATTCTGGGCAAGTCTTTCAGTCTCCTTGGATGGCCTTGTTTTCCTTGCTTGTGAAATGAGGTTAGATGGTATCAGCGGTCTTGCCAACACCCAAGTTATGTGATTCTGAGAGAAATTAGAAGACAGTCTTCTTTTTTTTTTGCTTCTAACAATAACATTTTTTATACAATTTATACTTAAAACATAGAAACAAGTACATGATAGAAAGGCCTACCTTCCCACGTTTACCTTTTGTGCAGCGCGTTTGGGTGGGCAGCCTGAATGGCAGCTGTGGTGATGACAGACGTGAGCGATCTCTGCCCCAGTGCTGGCCCTCAGCAGCAGTGTGAACATACACCGCTTAACTCATCACTCTACCTGGCCTTGGGATTTATTTTGCCTTTCTATTAAATGTAAAGCTATTCTTCCTATTTTCCATGTAGTCTGTTTTTTGTGCTTTTTGCCTGGTGAATCATGGATGCTTTCGTGATACGATATGAAGACAAAAAAGCCAGCAGATGTAGGCTCATATTCCAGCATTCTGCTGAACAGATATGTTACCTTTATGGAGCTGGGTTTCCACACCTATAACCTGAGGATAACAATGCCCACTTCCCAGGGTTTTGGCAAGGACTGAATGGACGACAGTGAGAGCACCATGCACACTGTGGACATTTGCAGGTGCTTAGCAGCAGGATTTCCCCAACCTTGTCTAAACACGGACCATGCAAGGCCATGTCTAGACAAGGTTGGGGAAATCCTGTGCTGTGCAAGGCCTCCTTTATGTGAGAAGTTGGGTCTGACCATCCGCCATCTCTGTTAGAACATCTGGAAAATGCTTCTGAGCACATTGTTTATCTCACGCACTGCGTCTCCTGGAATAATTCCTTCTCAGCCTGCCTTCTTCATGCTTCACCAATGACTCCTTCCTCTTCAACGAAGAGGAGAGAGACAGAGAGGAGTAAGTTGAATAGAGGAGGGGGAAGCTCTGATTAGGGCTGTGGTGTAGGGAGGCCATTGAAAGAGTTGGCATGGGTGTGATTCAGCATGGGAGGAGCGTATGGAGAGAACTGATGGGAAGAAAGAAAAGTTGAACAGGAAGAAAATGAAATTAATCTTGGCATTCATGGCATTAAGCACTAGGGATTAGGGAGTATCCTGGGAATGCCAAAGCATAAAGGTCAAGGTGTTTTGTAGACATTTCCAGTTTTGTCTGAGGCTGTAGAATTAGATGAAATAAACAAATTAAAGTATCTTTTTTTTTGCAGGCACAAAAGTCTCACTCTTGTGATGATTTTGTTGAATGTGCTACTAATAAGGATGTGGGTAGCTGTGAAGGAAATATTTTTCATGGGGTATGTGAAAAGCAATTGATGAAACTAGGCCAGTGAGAGTGTGTGTGTCTAGAGATTGTTCTGGGAGGGCAGGGGTTAGGCCTCATGGCCTCTCCTCTCAGCCCTGCCCTATTGCGCAGGGCCCTGTTGAATATGCTGCTTAACCTTCTACTCTGCCACTCGCTTTGGAAACTGGGATTGCCACCCACTTTCACTGGGCGTGCGGGGAGTGAAATGATTTAAGTGAGAGTCTCTTGCTCTGAGATGCCAAGATAAGCCCGAGTACACACACACACGGAAGAGAAGGATCTGGTTTTCTCATGGCCACCATCGTGCATTTGCAGAGAGATAGAGAAGAATACCAGATAAGACAGCCCCAGACTTCCCTCATGACAGCTTATTTGGTATTATTGTGACACTCCAGAGTACCTCCATGACTGACAGTGTCAGTTGCACTCTCAGGGTTTGGGGGTTAGGGGTTGGGGTGCAGATTAGCTTTTTGCTTCTGCTACAGAGCTCTGCTCACCAAGAAAAAGGCCAAGAGCCACCTGTTTTCCTGAGTGCAAATTGCCTTTACAAAGCTGGGTCTGGACAGATTCTTTTGCCACTAGAGGCCACCAGGCAGGGCTGGAAGTCCCAGCTGCCTGCTCTCTCTGCCTTGCCTTGAAGCATGGGTGATGCATCCGTATTGGGGGACCATCACAATGTTGATCCCTGAGCCTACCTAGAGTGTCTTAATTCAGGAGTCCTAGGGAAGCATGGAAATTCTGTGCATAGTCATGTCTACAAAGGCATCTTTGTAGAGATTAACTTTTTTTTTAACATAAGGCTATTCTGTAAGGTTTGACTGCTTCACAAATATTTATTTGAGAGTCTCCTGGCTCTTTAGCCTCTGTCTGCAACTCTCTTTTCTTCCCAAATATAGTAGGATATGCAGAATGCTAACTGCTGGGACTGGTTTAAACAGCACACTTTGAATAGATCCAGGGATAACCTGGGCATTCTAGTTTCAAGTGAGAGAAGAGGAGTGTCTTAGGGAAATGCCTGTGCAGATGCTTTCCTTTTTATTCTCCTATTTTTGGAGAACTCTCTCCAAAACGAGTTATTTCCTGCTGGGTGTGGAGATGCCTACCAGATACCTGAGGCTACCATGTGCAGCCTTCTCTGCCCTTGCCTGGTGTCGGGACCTTGCTGGTACCTCCCTGACTGGGCCTGGAGTGTGCATAAGGACCCTGCTGTGATGGTGGGAGTTGTTTTCACATAGGACTACAGGAGTCTTCCTCCAGCCTTCTCTTCCCCTGGCTTCACTGGACTGCCCCATCTTCCCCCAGCAGAAATGGAAAGAGTGGTTCCTGGTGACCACCTAGCCAAGCAGCCACCACTGAGGTCACATTTTAGGGAAATGTGAGGGGCCTGTTCCTCTGTTTAGATGCAGCATTTCTGTTCTTTGTAACTTACTCTTGGAATTGCCAGTGAATCACGGCCTGGGAAGTTCTTGTGATTTAGAGTCTTGCACTTCCAGGAAGAGTTTTCTCTTGATGCCTTCTTTGACCCTTAGTCCCTGATAAAGTTTACATGGCATGAAAGGCCAGTCAGAATTTGGGGGGTTAACACAAAAGAACACAAAAATATTGTTTCTAAGTTATAAATTGGTATAAACGTCATATCTCTATGAGTTAGTCACCTGATAATGTAGGCCAAAGAAAACAGGAAATGTATAGATATGTTTGTAAATTGATGTTGTTTTGGTATCTCTTTTGACCTCCTTCCCACATTAGTATTTGGCACTTGATTTTAATTTAGGTCAATAATAATACTCATTACTGCTTGAGAACTCTGTGTGCATCAGGCAATATGTTATTTGCTTCACATAGTTCTCTTTAAATCTTAATAGCAATTCTGTGATGTGATTCTCATCTTACAGAAGTGCAAAATTGCTCAGGGCTGTTAAATAACTTGCAGGTCTACAAACCAGAAAGTGGCATAAATAGACTCTGAACCAGGCCTTGGAGAGTGTGTCCATTACCGTCCATGTTTTTTGCCAGGTGCCTGGTTCATTCGAGGTGGAGTGTTATTGCTACAGAATATAGAAATTAAGTCAAGAAGCTTATCATGTAGGGAGAGTAAGATAGATAAACAACCGAAGATAATACAAGGACAGCTGTGATAGATACCAAAAAAGTGTAAGCAAGAAAGGTCCACTGAGGGGCTAAGGGAAGAGGTTGAGATCATACACACCTAATTGGGGTCACCCAGGAAAAGTCTTTTTAGAAGTGGTGCACTTGAGGTGGGCCTCATAGGACTGGCAGAATCTTACTTGTGGGGGTGGATAAGGAAAGATTTGTGGGTAGCAATGACTGCCAGATGCCCAGGTAAATAAACGGGATCCTAAAGAAACTATTAGATTGTATATATGCATGTATGTGTATGTGTACACATGTGTATTGTGTATGCCTGGATACACTCACAGTTTTGTTAATTATGAAAACCTTCTATACTCTTCCAAAGCAAAAGACTAATGACTAAGTAGCAACGTTGTCCAAACTGTGTTCTCTAGTTCTCCTGAGAACAGAAACACCTCTGAGCAATACTTAATAGACGTTCGTGTTTATACAGGTAGGAATGAGGTGTTTTTTAAATTTTCTTTTCTTCAGGCATCTGTGAATGAGGCCTCTCCCTTTTTGTTGTTTTTTAAGTATCTGTTTCTATTTTCTAGCATGTTGAAACATTAGACTTCCTGTTTCTGCTTGATTCTGAATATACTCCTGTTTGCTTGTCACAGGTAATCTTGAGTTTCTATGTAGCTGTAGTTTACAGGGAGCAAGTGCAGGCAGCAACCAGTCCATCTCTGTCGTGAATGTGAAGACCTCTCTGGACTTACAATTAAAGGCTACATAATGCATTCCACTACAAGTGACGAAACCCAGCTCCCAGAATAACAAGCAAGACAACTTTTCAAAGTGACTGTTGTTGACCAGTGCCTTCTGTGCATTTGTATGGTAAGCTTAAGGTAGATTTTTCAAAAGGATAGTGGAAATTATTCTGTATTCTTCTTGAGAAGGACTGAGTCTCCCTGAGGTGATGCAGGCGCCGTAGCGCACACATCAACAGGGTGGTCGCGTGCTTTCCTCAAGTCTGTGTGACTCTACTAAGATACTGTGAAGTTGTCCTTCTAATTGTATACAGGGAGAAAATGCTGAAACTAGGTGAGTTAAAACTGCCCTCAGAATATGTCTGAATGTAATGTCTTCATTGAAATCTGGTAAAATGTCCAGATAACTAACATAGTATTGCTGTCTTCAAGGAAATAATGTTTGTTTGTGGCTTTAGAGTTATTGTGTTCAACACATCACTTTTGTTTTATTTTGTTTTGCTATGGCTCTGGGTGTGGGGAACCAGTGTTAAGCTGAGGGAGACGTGAGTATTGTAGGTGGAAAAAATGGCATCTGAAGTTCGCATGTAGGCAGTTTCATTTGTAAATAGATGAAGGTTTGAAATGTTTTAGAGATGGGACTCTGAAAAGGTTGGATGGCTTTTCCACCCAGACTTTCTCTTTTACATTTTTTATGTGTTAACTGTAGGACCCCTCTGGTTCCCAGTGGTCTGGCAGCAGTGGTAACACCATGGGGCAATCCGTAAACATGATGGTGTTTATTTCTCTTCTCTCATTGGGTAATTGTTTGAGTATTGCTGTTGCCATTTTCTCTAACAACCAAAAAAAATTTTACCTTATCTATAAAGCATTTTGTACTTTTAAAATAACACCATAGGTTTGTTTTTAGCCATACTTAATGCTTCCACAGTAGACTTAATTTTATTTTTAAAGTAAATTGAAAAAGTTGCCAAGGATTGGAATACAGTGTTTTAAATAGCCCTTAAAGTTATATTCGTGTTTATATACTTTTTTCAAGTTGATGTATAATATTTGCTTAGGTTTACATAAAATTTTTCTGCTCAACAGATTTTCTGGAACTTAAATTTGATACTAGGAAAAAACTAGAATTTCGAAGACATAGGTGGGTGTTGGTATAGCTAGTCTTTTGGTCCATTAATTGAACCCTTGGCAGCCAATAAATATTATTTGATAGAATCTTGACTTCTCTTATATGGAATGTGGTCACCTATATATCATTTATAGTCAATATACATTTGTCTACTAGATGCCTAGAGCTGTGCATGTGATCCTGTCATATACGTATGTGTGTGTGTGTATACATATGCACACACATTCTAGCCATATATAAAAATGGTTATGTGTCTGTGACTGTATGTCATTGCATATATACAATTGAGATCAGAGCCAGCTTTGCTTGGGAGGGTTTTGTGGAAGATGTGAGTTTTGGATAGAATTCCGAAGGGAGGGTAAGCAGCGTACTTTGGCAGAAAGACGTGTACATAAGGCTTTCAAGGCTGGAGTGATTAAGTCATAAGCATTCAAGGGTAAGCATGAACCATTTGAGAACCAACTGTAAATTAGTGGTTGAATATAGCCAGACTTGGAGTGAAGGAGAGGCAAGGTTGTGCATGCCAAGCTAAGAACCGTAGTGGTAGAGTGGCGCGTAGGAGCTTGTCTACTCTGTTCGTGGTAAATTTCACTCTTGGATATCAGCACATCCTGACCATGTTGCCATCTAGTGGAACTGGCTGAAATGCCTGTGGGAGCATCAGTACTTTTTCCCACTTCAGGATAAACTCTAGTGTGATATCTTGGCAATAGGAAAACTTACTTGCCTTTTACCTGGGGATTTTAAATGAAGAATCAGAGGAGGCGGGTGTAACTATGCTTTCCCCAGATGACATTAATTTAGATTCTGGAAACATGGAGCTGAATGCTAATATAATGAATTTCTCATAAACAACATCTGGAGTCCAGGGTATGACTGCTGAGAGTGCTGGGTGTACATGCCCATCAGCTTAATATATGGAGTGAGCAGGAAGCAGCGCTTGTGAGGTTCTGCAGTGCAGTAAAAGCATACCGAGTCTGGCCCTGGGCCCTTTGTGTTTCACTTAGGCCAGCTTGTGTTTGTCATGTGATTACAGAGTCCATCCTAGTGACAGAGAGAGCCCCCTGATCATAAGCACCACAGCCTGCAGACCCCAGACTGAAGACAATGTAAAGGTCTATAATCCTCTTGCCCTCCCTCCCAGTCGTCCATGGACATATGTATTCAGCAAATACTTACTGAATTATGTCCCAGGTACCTTCCAGATACTGAGGCTATAGCAATGAACAAAGCAGATAGAAATTCCTGCTATTGGATAGCGGATATTCTAGGTGGGGCGACAAATATCAACAAAATAAATAAGTAAAAATATATAATAAGTGGAGAGCTGAGTGCTAGGTAGAAAATATTTTCAAGCTGAAGAGGGAAACACGGCTTGTTGCAGGGAGTGAGAAGGTGAAGGCAGATAATTGTGGTTGCAATTGTGAGTGAATCCTCACTGAGAATGTGATTGATATTAGACTCACCTGAGAAGTGAGAGGAAGCCAGACATAGATATCCTGGGGGAAGAACTTTCCAGACAGAGGGCAAGTGACTGCAAAGGCCCTGAGGTGAGAATGGGCCTGATGTATTCCAGAAACAGTACAGAAGCTTAAAGGAGGGGGAGAGATGAGTCAGAGAGGTGTTGAGGAGCTAGATGGTAGGGCCTTGTGGACAGTTATAATGAATTTGACTTGTACTGGGCATGAGATGAGAAGTCTTCTCATTTTAGAAATGCAACGTAGGCCAAAGAAATCAAGGTAGGTGTCCATGGTCATTCAGCCTCGTGGTGTGAGAGCTTTAATGAAAACCTGTCTCCTGCCTCTGGCACTCTACCAGCCACCCTGCCTGCCCTGGGGGATCCATGGCCATGTGCAGGTGCAGACTTCCAAGTGCAGTGGTCTGAGAGGAAGAAAAGTGCTGTGGGCTCCTCCAGCAGCTGTGTTCATCTTAGTTGTTCCCCTTCTGTGTCCCTTTCTACCTGTAACAAACACAGAAAGGCTTAGACCGCTTATTTCAGAGAAATACTATGGCAGAGAATTTCTCTGAAATACAAGGTCTAAGCCTTTCTGCCGAATATTGCCTGCCTTTGTTTTGCTATGGCGATAAATCCTTCAGGTTTTCCCAGTGGTATTCTGCCCATTAGCCCGTGAAGCACAAGAACCTGCAGTCTCATAAAGCCTCCCCTGTTTCTTATTTGCATTCATTTTTAAGCTGTTTGGATATAATAAACATAAGATAAAATGTCTACAGTCCTAAGAAGTTTGATCACCATTCTCAGTATCACTCCCAACTCTGAAAATTAGTAAGATTGAATATTAAATGTCATTTAAGGTGAAATTGAAAACAAGATTACTAGTTGAGGAGAGAATGTGAACTGGTCAATGAATACAGCTTAACCTGGACCATTTTGGCCCAATACTCATTGTCTTCTTGTTTTACTTTGAACAATTTCAAGCCTTTTTTCCCCCTTCTATCTCCTTCAGATCTTATGACCACTGTCCTCTGGACACAGGCCAGATCCTCTAATATCACTTTATGGTGAAGGCCAGACCAGTGCTAAGTATAGAAGAAAATCACTTTGTGCTGTCATCTGCATTTTCTCCTCTTGTTTAATTGTCTCCTAGCCTGTATCCAGTGGACAAAGTGACGTGAAGTATTTGCGTCTTGTGGAAAGAACTCATCCTGAATTATCTTATTTCATTCTTTCCCTTCCTCTTAAAGCAGAGCTCCCATTCTAGCTGATAGGAGATTTACATCATCATCATATCTTGCACTTACATTTGTTTATATAGCACTATTTCTTTTTTGCCAACCAAGGTGATTTCATATGTTTATTTGTACATGTTGTCTATAAATGAGCTTGACATCCCACCAGCTTGAGCCATTAGGGTTAGCATTGATTTGCATCCTTTGGAATCAGTTCTCCTTTTGGTAAAATTGCCTATCAATAGAGCCTGAGGGCATAGACCTCCGTGGTCTTTCTGTTTCTATTTTTAGGAGAGTGTGCTCCTGGAGGAGCTATCTGAGCTGGATTTGATGAGAATCTAAGAATGAGTGCTTGCTGGAGGAAATTTCATTATCAAAACTCAGGGCCATGTGTTTGGGAGTTAGCAGCCACAAAAAATTAAAAATAAAATAAAAATTTTAAAATGTCAGGGCCAATAGGACAACAAAGCCATATAGAAATGCAAATATTAAGGGGGGCCACCATGAGCAGTAGGCTTGACAAGAAACATTTCTATGGTTCCTGTTTACCATCTAACCCAGAGCATTGCAGCATTTGCTGCGTGTGGGAAATGGAAAGTGAAAGTGCTCAGTTAAAGTTGCCACCAAAGAAAGTCTGATTAACACCCTAGCAGATTTCCCTAGCTTCCAGAAAGTCTTTCTGTTGGAATCCAGCATTTCAGCTGTAAGACTGCTGAGTGGAAGTGCGGAAATGCAATTTGCTGTCTGCAGAGCCCCAAGTGGACTTAGAGCACATTCTTTTTGGTTTTTTGTTTTGTTTTGAGACAGAGTCTCGCTCTGTTGCCCAGGCTGGAATGCAGTGGCACAATCTCAGCTCACAGCATCCTCCACCTCCTGGGTTCAAACAATTCTCCTGCCTCAGCCTCCAGAGTAGCTGGGACTACAGGCTCCCATGCCCGGCTAATTTCTGTATTTTTAGTAGAGACAGGGTTTTACTGGGTTGGCCAGGATGGTCTTGATCTCCTGACTTCGTGATCTGCCCACCTTGGCCTCCCAAAGTGCTGGGATTAGAGGCATGAGCCACTGCGCCAAGTCAACTTTAAGCACATTCTAAGACAAAAATCTGGCCTGATCTTAATAGTCCAGGGCTTTCCGTTGCTGATTTGCTCCTCTCCTGCTAACTGCTGAATAATATTCCTGCCCTTCACCACATGTGCCCCTGAGCTCCTCACCATACCTTCAGCTCCTGGGAGAGATCCCAATGCAGACCTGACCTCCTCATTCCTGGCTCCTTACTCCAGATTGGAATCTGGAGCTTAGAACACACACATACCTTCTCTGCACCTTGTCCCACCCTATAAGTCTTGTCTCTTCTGCTCCTGTCAGGCAGGCAGCCACCCACAATATGACAAAGACATTCTCACATGGGGTTTATCAGGAAGCCCCATCAGGGAGTGTGGGGCAGCACCAATTAGTGAGTGGAGGAGGAAGATCAGGGACCCATGTCCTACCTTACAGAACCTCCACCCCATCTG